AAGAGGGGGCCCAAGACACAACTTATGGTCCCGTGAGTTTTCCCTTATGCCTTTACCCCATGGGCCTGCGGACATCCTCATCCCCAGCTGGGATTGCCCCAAATACCCCTTTATTGCTAAGGACAGGTAAAGTGAAGTGCCCAAGCCCCATCCCCATCCCTGCCAGTGTTCAAGGTCATGTTGGAGCAAGCTGCTCTAGTGGAAGGTGTTCTTGCTCAGGGCAAGGGGTTGGAGCTGGATGAGCTTTAAGGCCCCTTCCAACACAAACGAGGCTGGGATTCTATGCTAAAATAAGCCAGTTAAACCTTTAGTGCAAGCTGAAAGCAGCTGATGCAGTGACATGTCTCACAGGAGCTGCCCCAGGCTTGGCATTCCAGCGGGGCTATGAAGGAAGGTGATCCATGGGGAAGGAGGCAGGTCCTGCTGCTGGTGGGGTAGGTGGAAGGGTGGCTCAGTAATGCCCTGGGCTGTTGTACGTGTGAAGCTGAGCCCTGAAGGAAAGGTCAAAGCCAGCTCTTGGGTATGATGCCAGCCTCGCAGCTGCTTTGGCACTGGGATGGAGATGCCATTGCTCTTCTTGTTGCTGTCCAAAGGGCTTGGAGAGACCCTGGCCCTGGGCCATGCTGTGACCCAGCATCAGGAGACTGCTGGTATTGCTGCCTGGCATCGCAGCAGCACCTCATGCGTGCAAGGATGTGCAGAGGCAGAGCAGATCTTCCTCCAAGTGTTTAGGATGAGTTGGTGACTGCGGAGATGGAGCTGCCTTCTGGCTTGGAGACTTGTTCCCCCACACGTGCAGCTGGTGACCTACCTGTGTGGATCACTGAACATCCATCACTGCAGCACGCAGTAGCCGTAGGGCTTCCCAACACGCACAAGGCAGTGTTAGCAAAGACCCTGCTCTTCCAGCCTTATGGAACGTGGCTTTTTCTCTTCCCCTAGAGGCACCACACCAGCTGGATGGGATGCTCAGGAGATGTTTAGCTTCCCCTTCACCCCTCCCTTACAGCCTGCAATTCTGACTGCTCTAACTCCATTACAGCCCTACTGTCCTGGCTATCTAAGACCCCTTTTTAGGATGAACATAGACCTGTGTGCCAGGAGGAAGTTAAAATCCTAAGGAAACTTCTAACTTTCTGGCTGTAAGTGACATCTAGTGGAAATGGCAGGAAAAATTAGTTTCACAGGCAAAATCCTGTTGGATTTCAGTGGTGAAACTCGAATTCCTTCAGCCCAGACACCTTTTCTTCAGGCCTTGTAAAAGCAAAGAGCTCTATCTATGTGGGTATGACTCAAAGAGAGCTTGGTTTGTCTCACACCAGTGAGCAGCATGACAAGGAGGTGGCTGTGACATGACAGCAGTCGCTTGGACTTACGGCTGCTGGTCCCAAGCCAGAAACACTGCATCCACAACAGGCCATGCTCTGGTTTGGTATTCCAGATGAAAACAAGCTACTTTGCATAGCTAAGCACCATGGCAATGTAGGTCTGGGCTGGTCCATCCTGGTGCTCATGATGCTACAGCCTGGTCCTGCTGGGTTCTTTAGGCAGGGGATGGCTCCCCACAGCCTCCTGTAGCAGCAGCCATAGAGAAGCAAAGAGGGGAGCTGCAGAACCTGCCCCTCAGGGATGATGAGCCCAAGGTTATGGATATCTCTGTCCTGGGCCCTGTTTGCCTCCTCTTCCTTGGCACTGGATGTCCCTGCTTGCTGCCACCCCTGCCCCAGCAGGAAGGGTCCAGCCAGCAGAATAGATGCGTCCTGAGGCTATTCTTGTGCAGAGCAAAGCCAAAGCTTGCAGAGAAACCTGAAACGCAGCGAGACTTGGATTAGCAACCCGAAACTCCAGCCAGGATACAAGCTTTTTGGAAGAGCTTGGCAGGGTTTCAGGCAAGTGCGGGCTGAGTTTCAAGTCAGCTAAGGCTGACCTTTGAGTGAGCCCACTGCTGGCTGCTTGGGAAGCATGGGCTTGAATGCTAAGAGAGCCTGGGGAGTGAGTCTCAGGCTAAAGAAACAACCCAAACACAACAAAACGGTTAAAGGGGTTAGGGAAAACCAATGCAGAGCTCTTATGGTTTGGGGGTGATCATTCCAAGCCACTCACCTGCCCCCAAACCAGCAAAACCAGACTGGGAGTTACAGCTTCACTGCACTCGGAGTTTCAATGCAGCTTAACCCCTTCCTCAGCATGGAGTAACTCACTTCCAAGGTACAGCTGAGCTCTCTCCACATCACAGGGGAGGGTTCATGGGTGTTAGGGGTGGAAAGCCAAAGCAGCACCCGAGCAGCTCAGCGTTCCCTATTCCTGGACATAAAGGGCTGTATCTATAGGGCAGTTTGTACCTCACAGGGATTTATGGAAGGGGAGAAATGAATCAGAGAGATCACACGGTGGAAAGGCTCGGGCTGTGACAGACAGAGATGGGCAGACAAGGCCCAGATGTACCAGTGACCATGGCTGAAGGATGATGACGATGAAACCGAAGCCGAAGGCACAAGGATATAGCACAAACAGAGCTGTGTGTCCCAGGCAGTGGGAAAAGAGCTAATGCAGTTTTTGCTCCTGAAGCTGTGGATGTATTTCTCTTCCCATTATGTTGGTGGTTTTTTCCCATTACTTTTCCTGCAAACACATCCGACTCTTCCTCCCCTAACACACAGCATGTGATGGGCCTAGAGCAGGGCAGGGAGGATGTCTTTGTAATCAGACCCACATTTCTCTGCATTGTCTGTGTTGTCTCAGCAGTGAATTCAGCCAAGCCCCCCCATAATCATGATGGTTTAGTGCTGTTTGTAAAAGCTCTGTGAAGGTAGAATTTTCCCAAATGGAGTTTCCTGGATAGGAAATTGCTTATCTAAGAGTATTATTCTATATAGCTCTAATAGCTCCTTTCCCCCTTCCTAGTCTGTTGAAGCCCCTTTCCACTGGGAGTAATGACTATTGAGCCTGAGGCCACAGAAGGGGTCTTGATGCCAAAGGAAGTGCCCCTCCACTGTGTTCCCTGTTCCCTTGCCTAGCTCCCCTTCCCATGCCCTTGATCCTCTTTCTCCCACGCTGTGTCCTACGTCGTCAGGCAGAGAGGGGCCTCATCTGCTGCTTTATTTCAGGCCCTTCTCTAATTACACACTGACATTAGTTATTTATATAATGTCCTTAACACCACAGCATCAATACTGGAGGTGCTGGGGTGGCTTGTGCCCACCTGGCCATGCCCTGGCAGGCAGCATCCGCTGGTCACGTTGGTCCAGAGGTGCTGGAGCAGCATCCCAGCATCTGGCATCAGCTCCGCTGGAGAGCTGGAGCCAGGTACCCGGGAGAGGCACAGGGTCACCACGTGCCAGAAGGTAATCAGAGATGGCCTGTTCCTGGCTGGAGCTGCTGGATGTCCTTGGCAGATGGCACAATGTCCCTTCTGCCTCCGGGCAGCGTGCCTTTGCCCTTGAAGTCCACGCTTACGGCCCTCCCGTAGAGGAAGGCAGGGAAGCGCTCGCAGATGCGTGATTTCCCCAAGGACTCTGTGTGGGCTTCACCCTGGTCTGCTAAATAAATCCTTGGATGTCTCCTGCGCCCAGACTTGTTTGTGTGTCTGAGGCCGGGGTGGAACGCGTGGTGGGGTGTGTGCAGTTCCTGTTGGGGTTTGGTGCGCGGCTGCTCCAACGGGACGCTGATAACGCGGGCCGCCAGCCCGCTGCTGGCTTCCAGTTCCGTCTCGCTGCCTCTGCCTCTTTCATGTTCTGTGCTGCGGTTTGCAAGGCAGAGTTGAAAGGTTTCTCTGACTAACCCTGCCTGCCGGACTCAAAGGGAAGGAAGCCGACTGCAGCCAAGAAAAGGAAGCCGCTCGGTTTCCCTTCTGCGTCTGCAAGCGCGTGTGAGGGGGAGAGGGAGAAGGGTGTAGCCAGATCGCAAAGGAGATAGGATGGGAAGACAGCAGACCTCTTCCCTTCCATATTCTCTCGGCTCCACAAGCTCCCTGCGTGCGTCAGCCCGGAGCATAAGGAAAGGAAGCATGTCCTGGTCAATATTTACCCTGCGGCATGGGGCTGCTGGTGGGCTGCACGCTCCTGGCTCGCTCCTTGGCTGTGCAGTGTGTGAAGGCAGCCACGCCGGGGAGCTTCCTGCCCACAGGATGGTGGTGCTGGCAAGGCAAGAGGCCCAGATGCCTCCAGCCTGTGGGACAGGAGCCATGGGCTACGTGGAGCATGCGATGTGGAATAGCTGAGGAGGATGCAGAGGCTGCGGGTCCCTCTCGGTTCCCGCAGCATGTGCACAACCGGGCATCTCCAGTCTGGGGTCTGCAGCAGCTTGGTGGCTAAATGTGTGTCCATAGCCTTGGGGCAGCACGGCCTGGAGCTGGGTTTGGGTTCACACACTCTGTGTTGCTGGCAGCTGCTTCAGGTCATCTATTTCTGTCCTCTGGGACATGCAGGGGGAGGCGGAGGGCTATTTCTGGCTCTGGTTGCTGACCCACCAAGCCACCGGGGACCAGTCGCTTCCCCTGTAACTCCCTCGTGCCAGGCTCACGCTGAGGAGCCAACCCAAGGCTCCCCCTGCCACCTGCATGGGAGGGCTGCCACGTGCCACGCAGGGCTTGTCACAAGACTGTGACGCTGGCTGTGATCTTTTGATGTGAAGCTGCAGTCAGCTGGCAAGAAGGGATGCTGTCAATAGGTGAACGATGCCCCTGAGGGATGTATATGTCACCCTAGGAATGGGTAACCTACAGACTGAGGTATGCTGGAAAAAGAGCAGTCATTACCATCCATATGTCACTTTCTGCCTTGTGTCAAAGGCTGTGAGCTCTGTACATGGGCCACTTCTCTGCTGGCCATGCCATGGGGCAACCGCATCAGTGGGCATCAGGAGTGGTCCTGGAGACCCCAGAGGCTGTGGGACAGGAAGGCGTTGGCTGGCACCACCGCATCTTCCCCACCAGCTTCTATATATGGGCCGGCCCTGTCTGAACCCATCACATTCGGATCTCAAGTGACACGCTGGGGAGGGAGGGGGGGTGTCTAATTTTAGCCCCTGAATGGATCTGTGCTGGAGCCGAGCTCTCTGCCCCTGTCAAGGGTACAGCATCATGTTGTGCTGGGAGGATTTTCCTGCGTGGCTCTTTGAATGGCTCCATCACCGGCTCAGGTTGTGGTACAGGTAAGATGCAGCCTTGTGATCTCTCTGCTACTTCTCCTGCTGCTGGATGCCCTATTCTGGTCTGGGGCTCTGTTGCATCTCCTTCCCCAGTGCCACGGGCACGGCTTGTTGCAGTGTCCTTGTTTGGGCTGTGTTTCATGTCACCTTCATGCGTGATGCTGTGGCAGCAGGAATGCTCTGGAGTGTAAATCCCTCACTTTTTAAAACGGGTTGTAGGCAAAAGGAGAAGGAAAGGGGTAATGGAAGTGCAGGGCTGCTGTGAAGAGAAACCCAGGCTCTCAGTGCTGCTGTGCTCGGGAGCAGAGGCGGACCTGAGGGGGGTAGTAGTAGTCTCTCTCAGTGCTGGCTGGGCTGTGGTCCAGCACAGCGATGCTTGTCCTGCTGATTCTGTTCTTGCCTCCCTCTGATTTCAGCTGGAAATGAATGAGGATGAGGGAATGCAGGGCAGGAACCTGGGGACAAAGGGTTAGGGGCTTCCATCTGCTGATGATGGTGGCCCTTCCTCATGCCCTGATCTCTCCGTCCCCATCCCTTGTTTTCCTGCTGCAGGCATGGATGACTTCGAGTACAGCATCCAGCTGAACGACAGGGACTGGGCTGAGTTCTTCTTGGCGGTGGAGGAGTGCAACCTCGCGCCGGCCTCGCTGGCCACAGCGGAGGAGCAGAGCCTCAGTGACATTGAGCAAGGGGACGGCGTGCCGGGCAGCACAGACGGGCCGGTCACAGCCAGGGTGGGCAGCAGGCCAGGGCCTGGCACGGGCAGCTCTGCCCCACGTGGGGTGACCGGAGACGCCTGTCCAGGCTGGAAGGCCGACGGGCACCTCTCCGTGCCGGAGCTCCTCTCGGACGAAGCGGACGTGGGCTCTGCTGGCAGGATCCTGTGTGCGAGCGGAGAGCCCGGCTGCCCTTCATCCGCTCCAATGCCCAGTGTGCAGGGCAGGCAGCCCCCCTGCCCTCCCGCAGGCACCGCTGCCAGCCCGGCCGGTGGCACAGCGCAGGACGCAGCATGCGAAGCAGCAGCACCGCAGCCACAGAAAGGAGCAGGCAGCGGTAGCCCGGCTATGGAGCGTCCCGGCAACCCGGCTGGAAGGAGCGAGCACGGAGGGGATGCAGGAGCGGCTCCGGGACAGGGCGGCTCGCCCGCGGTGCCTGCTTCCCCAGGGAGATCCGCGAGGAAAGGTCTCGGCAGCGCTTCCCGCTTGGAACCAGGACCACGGGGACCCCCGCGTGAACCCCCCCTGAGTCCAGCGCTGGAGGCAGCCCCCAAAGCTCCCGTGTCCCCAGCACGGGAGGAGGCGAGCGGGGACAGAGCCGGCTCCGAGCGCTGCTCCCCCGCCGGCTCCCCGGAGGTTGTGAGGCCCAAGGTGCCAGCGCAGACGAGGAAGAGCCGGCGGCAGCGGGGAGTCAGTGCCACCGAGGCAGCCCCGGGGGACAAGGAGCCGGTGGGGGCTGCAGGACAGGGGACTGCGGTGCCCATAAAGGCACCTTTAAGCTCGCCACTGTCCTCAAGGAAGAGTAAAGGGAAGGAGAAGGCAGCCAAGCCGGCCCCTGTGAGGATGGGCAGCGAGGAAGCAGTGGAGAGCAAAAAGCTGGTGCCCAGCCCTGGTGTGGATGAGGGTGATCTGGCTGCAAGCTTATCCCCAAAGCAGAAGGTGAAGGAGAAGGCAGCCAAGCCGGCTCCTGTGAGGACGGGGAGTGAGGAGGCAGTGGAGAGCAAAAAGCCAGTGCTCAGCCCTGGTGTGGATGAGGGTGATGCAGCTGTGAGCATCCCCTTGAAGCAGAAGGTGAAGGACCCAGCCCCTAAACCAGCTCCTGTGAGGCTGGGCAGTGAGGAAGCAGCAGAGAACAAGCAGCCGGTGCCCAGCCCTAGTGTGGATGAGGGTGGCCCAGCCATGAGCACTCCCCCAGAGCAGAAAGTGAAGGAGCCGGTGGCACAGCCCCTGGGGAAGGTGAAGGCCACCAAGCAACCAAAGGCAGGGCAGGCTGGTGGCCTGGGGGTACGTGACACTGTGATCCCCGATGGCGCCAGCAGAGCCACAGCTCCTTCAGGAGGGGCATGCCAGGAGAAGCCTCTTCACCCCAAGAGTGTGGTGGCTTTTGGGGGGCATGCTGCAGACAGAGCTCATGCGGAGCCTGCAGCTGAGGTCCCCAGGGAGCTGGGTCCCCCTTGCTTTGAAGCTGGGACCTTCGCAGGGACAAACACCCTGGACGTGACTTGGCCTGAGATGTATGACTATTTGTTCTGTGACTCCCAAGAGGAAGAAGAAGGAACATGGGACTCAGTGGAGGGGGGAAAAACACTGGAAAGGGAAATCTCCTTGCCTGAACTCTATGAGTATTTTTTCAATGAACCAGAAGGAAAGAGGAAAAAAGCCAAGAGTAAAGACAGGAAGCGAAAGAAGTTCAGCAGCTTGGACCACACTGAGCTGCAAAATGAGGATGCCGACTTGGATCCAGTCAAAGACTCCGTGGTTATCTCAGTCCCTGAGGTGTACGAACACTTCTTTGTGGATGGGCCTGGGAACAGGGGGGGCTGGAGAGGGATGTTCTCCATTGCTCCCACCTCCGAGGTGAAGAAAGCTGTGGGGGCTTTGAAGACCCTCTTGCAAAGGCATCTCGTCGGACGCCAAGTCCCAGCACCCCAGGCTCTTGTGCGGAGAGGATCCGGAGAGAATCTCCCCCTCGTCCCGCTAGGTCTGCTGGGAAGAAGCGAGGCACAGTCTGACTTGGACATGGCCCTTGCACTGAGAGGTAAAGCACTGTTATCCCTGCCCGACAGCCCCATAGGGATGGATGTGCCTCTGCCCTGTGTGGTCCTTTCCCCAGCTCCCAGCCCTGCCCTGCTGCAGCCATCTCGACTTCAGCCACAGTGGTGCTGAGGCCCCCATACAGATGGGAGCATTTAGGTGGGCTGGTGTAGCTGGTCAAATCACACCCCGGGCATGTTAACCCTGGCAGCACTGGATTTTAGCAGGGAAAGCGTGCCTAAAGCCACCACCATCATGGAATCATCATGGAATGGTTTGGGTTGGAAGGGCCTTAAAGCTCATCCAGTTCCAACCAGGGACCCCTTCCACTAGAGCAGCTTGCTCCAAGCCCCTGTGTCCAACCTGGCCTTGAACACTGCCAGGGATGGGGCAGCCACAGCTGCTCTGGGCACCCTGTGCCAGCGCCTCAGCACCCTCACAGGGGAGAACTTTACAATATCTCATCTCAGTTTCCCCCTCCGTCAGGTTAAAGCCATCCCCCTTGGCCTATCACTGCATGCCATTATAAAAAGTCCCTCTCTGGGTTTCTTGTAGGCCCCTTCAGGTATTGGAAACCACGTAGGTTACCAAGTCCCACTGGACATCCTGTGTCACATTGTCTCTCGTGATGCTTACACTGCCCCTATGCCAAGCAAGTGCTGCTGGCTGGCTTCCAGTACTGCAGGAGGCACGGACAGAGAATATGGGTATATCCCATGCATACCTTACTTTGTCCCCCATAAACTCCAGTCCTGGGGCAGAGGTGGGCATGACAGCATGCATGCAACAGCCTGAAACTCAGCCTGGCCTGAAGTCCCTGTCTTAGGTGATTCACTTCTTCCCCTGAATGGATATAACTTACTGTGGATCTGATCTATACTTTTACACTCTGGCCAAGGAAAGCTTACTGAGGCATTTAGCTGCATTAAATATGGTTGGGTTTATTGCAAGATCAGGCAGAGATGGGGATCCCCCACCCATCCAGCTGCCTGCAGAACCACATAGCTGTGCCTCTGATGAGGGAATGGGAGGCAGAGCAGCACAATCCTTCTGTACCAAAGAACTCATGCCCCTGAGATAAGGCAATGGCTGCTGAGCTGCTCTCCTGTTAAGGCTGCTAATGGAGCCAATAGTGGTGGGGGAAATGATGTGCACAGAGTGGAACATGTTCAAGGCTTCCAGCTGAAAAGGTGAAGGGGACTATAGAACACATGCTAGCTTGAAAAACACCCTCCCGAGACCTCAGAGGTCACCTGCACATTGACTGTTATGGGATGCAGGTAAGAGAAACAGGGATAAGGTGAGAACAAGTCTGACCCACTACCAAAGCGTATTTATCTTAAAGCTTATATGATGCTCAGAGGCACAGCGCCTCATAGGTAATATTAAAACCAAACAATGAATGAGTCATCCCAAAGGGTGCCTCAAAATAGAGCTTCCAGCCTGTTTGCACAGAGGCAAATGCCTTTGCCATGGTGTACCCAATTAATAAGCCAGTTTTAATTAAAAACCTGATCAAATAACCACAGGAGCAAAAGAACCCCTGTGTCTCCAAGTGGACTGGAACTCCAGCAGAGAAAGACATGCAGAGCACTGAGGGCTGTCTCTTGCTGCAGAGAGATGCTGAGCACTGCTGCTTCTTGGTGGCATCTGCATTGTCTTAGAGCTGCGTGCGTGTTGGGACATGGATGGGGACCTTGCCCAGAGGGACCCCACTGCATTGGCAGCCAGCCCAGGAATTGTGTTCTCCTAAATCCAGCCCCACTTCCAGGCTGGGAAGATACTCAGGGGGGTGGTGATGCAGTCAGAGGTCCTGGAGGCATCATATCCACTGGTGGTGCCTCTCAGGCCCATGGGCAGCATTAACAAGTATTTGCCTTGGGTTCTTAAAGTGTAAACCTGAGAGGGGTGGAAAATGTGCCCCTCTCCTTAGCAAATGTACCTGAGTCCTCAATAGACATGTTTGACTTGATCAATGGTGAAATAACATCTTCTGGGAGGAAAAATGTGGGACAAAGATGTATTTCTGGGGCAGTACAAGGGACCCACTGCCACAGAGCGACCAGAGCCTGCTGTGGCAGAGGAAGTGGTGTGAAACCCCAAACCTCCTGCTCTTCTTCCCACAGGGAGCCCCCAGGTTCCACTGGCGCTGACCCACAAAGACATGTGCCTCGTCTTCTGTGCCTTTGCCTCCTGGGCAGTGAAGACCTCCGACCTGCAGGCTCCGGATGCCTGGAAGACCAGTATGTATGGTGTCCATCCTGGAGGAAGAGGGGTGGGAAGGACCTCATGGAAGACATGGCAATGAGAAGAGCAGGGATACTAACACACCTAACACTGCCTGTGGGAAAATGCAGTCATTTCCCTACTTCCCCAAAGCATCCTGTTAGCTTCTAATACCTTCTAATGCCTATGGACATTGCAGTCCTGATTCATAGAACCACTTCTCTGGGCACCCTGTGCCAGCGCCTCAGCACCCTCACAGGGAAGAGTTTCTGCCTAAGAGCTCATCTCAATCTCCCCTCTCTTATCTTACTTATTCCTGTTGTCCTTTCCCCACACAAAGTGATCGCTGACTTGAACTTAGCTCTAGGACAAGCCTGTGTTCCTAGCTTTAGCCCTGCTCCATCCAGCCTCTGACAGAGACCAGTACCCGTGTACCAGGGCAAGAGAGGCTTCTTTAGGATCCATGCTGCCTAGAAGCTCAATCAGGACCCTGAGTATGAAGGCTTAGACTCCTTCATCCCATCTAGAGCAAATGCACGTTGTTCTAAAGTGCTGTAAATGTATATTCTTTCCTCTAAATACAGCTTAGCTGAAGTGTTATCCTGGTGCACTGAGTCCTGCAGGAGCTCTGTGGGTTCCTCTTCTCTCCAACCACAGCATTTGAATAAGTGGTGGGGACAGAGGAAGCTTGGGCAGCACAAATTAGCTGAGCTGTGGCCCAAGGGGTGAAGGTCACTGGATGAGGAGGGAGTGGGACAGCAAACACAGCAACCTTGCCCTGGGGCTGGGTCCAAAGCCCCTGCCATGGGGTGTTAGGGTAGGACCAGGGCTTCCTGCTGCTTGTCCGGGGCAGGAATGTTCCCCACTAAGGTCACACAGGAAGCTGACACCCTGAGCTGAGAATAGCTTATTAGCTAAGGTTGCTCAGTACAGTCATCACAAGGAGTTTTTGGCCTGCTCCTCCTTGCCTTCTTAGTATTAGACCGTAGATGTGGCCTCAGAGAGGGTGCAAAAACCGGGGTATGGGCCTCGTGCCCTCGGGATTGCATAACCCAGTGTGCAGTAAGCACCTTGGCAAGGAGGTGGCATCATGGCTTACACTTCTCTTGTGACATTTTGGGTTCCAACAAGCTGAATTTGCCTGTTCTATGTCCCCAAAATCAAACTCGTCTAAATTTAAACCAGGAAGCCCAAACAAGTAGAAAATGAAGGGACTATCCTGAATCCCTGGTGACATTTCCTACTTAGCTGAGGTTAGGCCCATTTGATGTCCACATGAACCTGTGTATCTAACCACCACCCATCCCTACCACACACATGGAGTCTATGTTGCGTTTCTCTTAAAAACAGCTGTTTCTTGTGACGTGCTGGTGTGATCCATGTGCCCAAACAATAGGATCAGGTGTGGTTAGCCAGGCTATTCAGGGCTGAATGCATTGGGAGCAAGTACAAAGTGGTGGGGAGGAAAAGCAAAGGCAGGAAGGGAACTCTAGGTCCTATAGACCAGAGCGAGCCACGTTGCTGGTGATCTTGAAGGCTGGAAAAGCTCTTCAGGTTTGGGAGAAGCACCCATCCTCACCCTGGAAATGTGTTGGGCTCTTTTCCAGTGTTCCTGGCAACTTTTGGCACCCTTTCTGCCATCCGCTACTTCCGAAGGCAGGTCAGAGAAGGACGTCCCCGGACCTAGTCCCAGCACACGCCAGCGATGCTTCCCGAGGACAGGCGAGGACATTTGGAGGCAGAAGCTGGGGACTTTGCTCTTGGGCAAGTGTGAAAAGCCTGGATCCCAGCACCGAGACTTCAATGGACCCATCCCTAAGGGGGACAGGATGTCGCAGGAAGCAGGATCCTTCCGGTGACAGTCATTTACAACACGGTAGGCAGTTTGTACCTGGATTGGACAGAAGAGGAGCCCGGTGTGGGCTGGCTCTGGTCTTTCTTTGCACACTTCTTGCATATTTGTGCTATCTCCTAGGAGTAGTCACAGTGTCTGTTCTAGGGCGCTGCTTGTCCATCCTCCCTGCTGAAGTCACCTGGTGGCAAAGGAAGGCACCGAGGTGGTGGATGGAGGAGAGAGCAAAAGAAACCAGGAAAGTGCTTTGTTCTTATGAAGGAGCTGGCTTATCTGTGAAGGAGGAGAGAGCTTTGGGGAAGAGCTGTGTCTGTCCAAACATGGGGCTTTGCTAAGCATGTGCTGGCTGTGTGTGGGTGAAGGGGGATGGAGATGCTGCTCACTTGGCAAGGACCAGGTCCCCCATGACCGGGTTGGCTCAGGGCAGGAGGACTCATCCTCTTGGACTGTGCTCAAAGAAGTCATGCTCAGTCTAACAGTTCAGCAGGCTGAGATAGGGTTTCTGTTGCATGTGGCCCTGCTGAGCCACAGCCATGGATGTGGCGTTTGGCCCTGTGCGTGCGGAGCACCCGCTGCAAGGACACATCTCACTGCTGCAGGCAGGGAACGGGCAGGAAGCCTGCAGCCAGAGCCAGGGGAAGGGGCGGCAGGGAAGGGCTCTATAGGAGCTGCCCATGATGGAAAGGGGCTGCAGGGGCAGCAGGGAAAGGGGCCGAGCTCAGGGAAGCCTCTGGAAAGAGCCCTCTTAAGGACAGGAGCATGTCGGAGAAGAGGAAAAGGTATGTGCACATGTTTGGCTCTGACAATCACCACATGAAGGGTCTAGATACATGACTTGGTCCCTCCACTGCCTTCCATCCTAGAGACATAAAGGTGGCTGGGAGGAGATGGCAAAGGAGGAAGTGCCATGGCTGAGTGCGTAACCCTGTGGGACTGGAGAGGGCTGGAATGGACCCAGGATGGAAGATGGGGTGAAAAAGGAAAAGGAAGTGGTTCAGTTTCTTCCCTGTCTCTAGTGCCTTCCTGAACACTCAAGGGCATTATTCATGATGGCTTTTCTTCACTCCCAAGTCTGATAACAGCATGAATGTGAGATTTGTTAAGCACTTAGGGACCAGATCCATAAAGATACCGGGGGAAGTCTGCCCGGAATACCTGTGTGGATCTGCCTATGAGCTTTGTAGGAGCACTGTGGCAATGTTTGTCTTATGAAGCCAGAGAGGAGAGGTTTAGCTCTTTCCTTGCAATGCAGAGTGCCATGCAATTTTAATGTGTGTAGGGATGTGTTGAAGATGATGTATTATTGCTGATGAGAGCACATTGTACAATTGTACAGAGAGGTATGTAGCAGTAAACAGCAAGAGAGAGATGTACATGGACTATATATGTATATGGATTATAGTATATAGATGTATATGACCATATATAGATGTATATGGACTATAGTAGCTGTATCGCCAGTAAGAGGAGTTTGGTGGAGGAAGAGAACAGATAAAATGTGCTGGAAGCTTCTAATAAAGATCTATCTCATTTAATACCCTTGTGTGCATTCCTGTCTCGATATTGTTTGTGTATGAAACTGCTGAACGAGTGCTGAGTTTTAAAGAGCAAGAAATCAATCCATGATGTGATGTTGATGCTAAAATGTAGGAGTTGTGCTGGCTGAGGACAGGGTATGCAGGGAGATGAGCTGCTTCTCCTCTTCTCTGGCTCAGGCCCCATGCCTGCCCCTCTAAGACACATCCTGGCAGTTGCCTGTCACTAACAGCCTGCTCCAGAGAGCCCTTTGCTCTCTCCTGTCTCAAAAGCACTCAGGACTCGAGCAGAGACCAGCTCTTGCCAGCTCCTCCGGGGCTCCCTGGACACATCAGTGAGCACAAGTCAATGCACAGCGGCAGCTCCTGGGTTTGGTCCATTGATGCTCATCGCCTCTGCCCTCCCCAGTAGTCCCCCAGGATGCAGCTGAGCTCTGCATGAGCAGCATCCCAGAACGCCTGGCCCTGCAGCCTCAGGCACAGCAAACCTCATTCTGAGCAGGAGCAGGCAGAGGGGAGGCTGAAGCGTTCACGTGTGCTGTTTTCCTGTTTATCCAGCCATCATCCCATCCAAGGGGGCTCTGGGACTGCCAGCTCCTCTCAAGGGGCTATTCCTGTCTAATTCCCCATGCAGAGTGAAGTTCCCAGGGTAAGGACAGAGCTAAATCCCAAATGGGCCCTGCGGACTGCTGGCTTGGGTTGAATCTTTCTGATTTTGTGTTTTCTTGTCACACAAATGTGGAAGAAATGAGGCTTTCCCTTCACTTTGCAGGTGCAGGGACAGTTGATTTCCCTCCCAGACATGTACAGTACATTCAGGCACAATGCTGGCAGCTAAGAAATGATTGTGCCAAAAGTGACTGAATTTAACAGTGAATTCGATGGTTGGAAAAGCCATTCTGGTCTGTCGCTGTGCCTCAGTGACTGTAAAGCTGGCCTGAAGATCTCACTGGAACTAGGAGGGGTTCTGGCTAGAAACCATGATGCTGAGCACACTTCTGATGACATTAACCCCTCTAGGGGCTGGGGCAGGGCTCTGTTCTGGGATGTGGGGTGTCTGTGTGTACCCATGTCAGCCTGATCTTCCCCAAGCCCTTGCTTTGGGACCTCATCTTCCGCTCCCCACAAACCAAAATGCCAGTTCAGCTCAGTTCTTGGTCTCCCTTTGCGAGGAATGAGGAAGCTCAGTGAGTTGAGGCTGGGCTGCAGAACCTCACAGTGAATGTATAGCTGCTAAATCACGGCTGAAGCAGTGTCCTCTCCTGCCACCATTGCTTGAAGGCTCTGGGCATGGTTTATGCACGTTACCAGCTTGTTCTGCTCCTTGCAGACAGTCAGGTTATGGTCAGAGACTACCATCAGCCTTCCTGAGCTGCACAGGAGTGGCACTGATGGGAGGCTGCAGGAAAGCTGGTTTGGGTGCATGTCTGATACGATCCCGAAAGGAATCAGACCTAGATGTTGCAAGAAGCAGGAATGGCAGGTAATGCTCTGCACTCCCAGCATCCCATATGTGGGCCATACATAGTCAAAACACTGCATTTGGGGTGGGAAAAGGGTCAGGTTGTCCCTGACCACCTTTACCTGGGAAAGGCGCAGTGCCACCAAGGGCCTGCTTTCCCACTCCAGGGACACAGGGTACATCTCACTCTCTCAATGCCCCTATCCCAGTGTTCAAAACCTCGTGCTAGGTTTCTTCCCAGGAGAGTTCTGTACTCATGTCAGGCTGTAGGCAACGTGAGATGCCTGTCACCTCCACTAGCCAGGGCCCTTTGCCTTTCTATGGTAACTGGTGTCTCATCCTTTACAGCTCAGGCTTGGAGATGTAAATGTGATTTGGCACCTCCCCTTGCTAACACTTACTGAAGGTACCAGAGGATCCATCAGGTTAGAGGTGCATTTCACGCTCCTTTTGATGTCCCCTGGAAGAAGCGGGTGAGATAAATATTTCAGAAGATGGATGTTTTCAGCTCACCGCAGAAGCAAAAGGAGATGTTGAAGGATCTGCTTGGTGTCAGGACTTGGAGCTCTGGGAGTGCCTGCTGTGCTCAGCCAAGCCGCAGTGTCTCTGGTGTCCTCCAAGGAAACCTGCTTAGACTTGCCTGCAATTTCAATGCTTGGTTTATTCTCTGACCTTTTAAGCTCTCTGCTCTCCCTCTGTGGGGAGGTCATCCTGTATCTCACCCCGAAGGGAGGAGCCAGGAGCTCCCCTTCTTTTGCAATAGCAGCAGCCACCACAATAGCAACGACCTTTTCCGTGCATCCTTGCTGTTCTCCCGTCACCAAAGAGCGCGTCAGCGCTGGAGGTGGGCCCCGTGCCATCGCACCCCGCTCCTTCGCCTTGCACGTAGCTCCCACATCTGACCCCTTGCCTTGCCAAGCGGATGAAAAAGTCAGGCAGGTGCACCCTCGCGAGGTGCCTCCGTATTTCATCCCGGGATATGCTATGTGCCACCCGGCTCCTGGAGCCCTGCGCCGGGACAGGAATCGGTTTTGCCACAGCAGCTCCTTCTGCCTGTAATAGAACCAGAGCGAAGCATCCCTTGGCTATTTCTGAGTCACAACCATCTCCTCCCCACACTTCAGAGGGATTTTAGAAGGCTTATGGTGCTGTGCCAGAGCCAGGAGTGCTGGCACAGGACAGAGCAGAGGAGCAGCGATCTCCCTCCCCTATGGGACCGACAGGGTTGGGTTGTGAGAGCAGGACATGCTTTGGTGGCTTCCCCCACCCACAGGGCAGTGAGGGAGTTGCTCAGCACAGACTACAGCGAATCCTGCCCATCCTCAATGCACTCCAGGCTCTGCTGGGGTTTCCAAGCGGGAGCAGGAAGCAGGTTTGCACAGCAGGTCCTTCTCTTACAGCCGGCCGGCAGGAAGAGGCACGTTCATCCCAAATGCTCCCCAAGGAATTCCCGAAGCTCAAGTGTCTTTGCAATGTCAAGTCTCTTGCAACGAGCAAGAGCTGCCCTGGTGGGCTGCTCTGTGGCAGCTACACATGGTCTCCTCTCCAACCTCCTGAAGCCAAAGGAATAGGTCATAGGCTCCACTTTCTTCCTTTAAATACCCCCCTCTGCTGTTTATCCTTTGAGCAAAAGGTTATCCTTTGGGATTGTGGCTTGGAATTCAGCAAGCAGAGAGAAACACAGCAGCCCGTGGTGTTTTGATCACTGCTCTGCTTTTCCAGCTATGGTTTCAGTGGGGGGGACACCTGATTTGAGCTCTTGGAGGGAGTGAAGGGGTGGAGAGATCATTTGTCAGCGAGTGAATTGCTGGCTGCTGGTGTCATCTCGTGCCTTCCATCTGCCTCTGTGAATAAAGAGGCACTATCCTGTGACCGAGCTGAGCAGCGGGATGTGCACAGACACGCTGCCTGCTTTGGGGCTGACCCGCTTCGGGCTGTACTCGTGCAACAGCCGGGCTGCGAAGGGCGAATACAGGTTGGGGGAGATGAGAGGTGTTTGGTGTGTTTATAGGTACAGTGGTTTCCATATCAATGCTACCTGCACTGGGACATCCAGGGTCTCTTGAGGTGATCCCTCTGTTTTAAATCCTGTTGGAGGAAAAGCACAAAACCAAGAGTTTTCATGGTCATAAGGCAGATGTCAAGGGGACAAGGGGAGACGGGTTCAAACTTCAACAGGGGAACTTGAGATTGGATATAAGGAGGAAATTCTTTCCTGTTAGGGTGGGGAGGCACTGGAATGGGTTGCCCAGGGAGGTTGTGAATGCTCCATCCCTGGCAGTGTTCAAGGCCAGGTTGGATGAAGCCTTGGGTGCCATGGTTTAGTGTGAGGTGTCCCTGCCCATGGCAGGGGGTTGGAACTGGGTGATCCTAAGCTCCTTTCCAACCCAAACCAGTCTGTGATTCTACGATTCTATGTCCATGATCAGAGCCTGGAAGTGGGTCTGATCTTATCTTGACCACTCTGATGCTTGGGGGGGCTGGTTTGGGAATGGTTTAGGGCTTGTGCACACACACAGATTGCTCTGCATTAGTTACACCAGCCTAGCAACCCTAAAGCAGGGACGGAAGAAGTGATTCTTCGGGCTGGAGGAGAGAAGGCTTGAGGGAGACCTTATAACAATCTTCCAACACATAAAGAGGCCAAGGAGAGGGGCTTTGGATAAGGGTCTGTAGGGACAGGCCAAGGGGAATGCCTGAGGGGAGATGGAGATGGGATATGAGGGGGAAATTCCCGGCCCCATCCTCCCATTAGGGAGCCATGACAGAGCCCCCCCCCCCGAGCCTTCACTTCCGGGCACTCTCTGAGGCGGGAAACGCCATGAGGGAGCCGCTGCCCCTCGCTCTCATGGCTTCCCTCCTTGACGCCTCAGCGCTGCCGTGGGCACAGAGCACACCCCCCCCCCGGTGGCCATGAGGTGAGGTCTCCTCACAGACGCCATGTTCGGGTCGGGAGGGCGGTGGTGGAGGTGCCGGGGGGCGGTGTGAGGGGAGGGCAGTGATGGCGGCCATTGGGCTCCCCTCATGGTCAGCACGTGAAGGGCAATGGAGGTGGTGCTGAGGGCGATGAGGGAGCTGGGGGGGGTTAGATGGAGAGGAGAAGGCTCAGTGGGGGGATCATGGCTCCCTGATGGGAGGATGGAGCCGGGAAGGGGCTGGGCTCTGCTCCCAAGGGATGGGACAAGAGGAACCGGCCTCAAGCTGCCCCAGGGCAGGTTTGGATGGAGCTGAGGAACAATTCCTGCCCCAGAGGGTGCTCAGGCATCGGAACAGGCTGCCCAGGGCAGGGCTGGAGCCACTGCTTTGATAGAGCAGCCCCAAATCCAGGCCTGAAGCAAAGTCCCATTGGCTTTAGGGCTACACCAGCCAGGCCCCGCAAGCACAGGGAGCCTTTGCTCCAGGTGTTGACAAGGGCCTGAGCTGGGTTAGGCACAAGCCCCCCTCCTTGGCCCCAGAGGCCTCAGGGGATGAAGGGCTTTGGAAGGGTCAAAACTCCCCCTCCATTAAACCAGGGGATGGCAAAGAAGGAGAGAGGCAAAG